GCAGGTGCACGCGGATAATTGCGTTCGAATTCGATCTTCGCGCGCGAAAATAAAAACGCCCTAATTTCGCCCTTTGCGCGCGTTTCTTTCGAGATAACGGCTGGGATTCGGCGGCTATTCAATTGATATACGCGGCTGGCTGCGTTATTGCGTATGTGCTTTCTACCCAGTCGTATATGTACGCAATGATGCTCTTGATTAACGTTAATGCGGTGTAATGTGATATGGCTTTGTGGTTACGATTGTGCGGATGGGTTCGACGATATGGGAATTTCGATGCTTGATTCTAACAATAAACACTGATTGTGATTTTAATGACGCGAGCGTTCAAACGGTAATTTTCTATAAAATCCACTCTCGTTTACCTCGTCGAAAATAAATTCGCTTGATACTTCCATCGACAGATGACTTTCAATCGCGCTTAATATTAATTCTCGAGGTATACCGAAAAATCCGTTCATACAACCAAATGTATATTAAGAAAAAAATAGACTGTCGCTTGGCAGCAGCCGTGCACAATCCACTTTTGATTTCTCCTTTTTCCAAGCGAAGGCGTTGAACTAAGCCTAACAGGCGTAAAGCACATCAATGGGTGCATCGAGTTTGTTAATCCCATCGACTCGCCCTTGTCGTCGTCGCGCCTTGTTGCTTTTGTTCGAGTGCATTGTCCCGTTATCGCGTGCTCTAGTGTATATATATATATACACACACTCGTCCTTGTCTCTTCCTTTCGTCCTTTGAGCTTGCGCAAGCTTTCGGGACTTCGCACGCGCTGTGCCTTTGCAGAAAAGCGCCGTCTTGTCTCTCTGAACTTACTCTTACTTGATTACTCGATTGTCAGCACTGGAAATCGCTTCTTTTTTTTTCTCTTTCTACGGTTGTTTTGTCTCCCACGACAGCGGAAAGTGTTTATGACCGTTCCTGATGTTCATAGAAAGTGCAATTGCCGATTGCTGATTATTGTTTGAAATGTTTGATTTCAGTTCTCAAATATATGACAGATGGCATTGGACAATAATCTGCCTTGCAACGAACTGCGATTTATATTGTTCTAAATTGATCAAATTCCCATACTGAATCATCATAAAATAATAATTTGACGACAATCATTAATTTAGAATGTAACGAATCTATATTAATAATTCGCGTTTAATTATCTTATCTGGAACGTTTTTCAAGAATATCACCAAACGAAACTCGATAAAAACAAAGGAGAGCATCCGAATCTGCTCCTCCCCACGAATGGCAAGTAAAACTCTTAACTCGCGCATAATATCTCGGCGAGAGAGAGAGAGAGAGAGAGAGAGAGAGAGAGAGAGAGAGAGATCCGACGCGATAAGAATAATCACTATTTGGCGCAGGGGAATGAGGAGGGAGAAAAAAAAATGTAATTGAATTGCACTCTCCGCTCCATTATACAGCAACGTTAAATCGAGTCTCGCGCGCGAGCAGTTCCTCGCTTACGCAAAAGTTTCTTTGCGCGCGGAGACAAAGGGCTTTTCTCTATCGCGCTGTCGTATCGCGCTTGAGAAAGAAAAAAGGAAACTGCACGCAAACAAGTTGGCCGCCCGCGAGACGGTCTTCGGGATACCGTAATAATTTTTCAGAAACCGTATGCCTTTTGCGAGAGTTAATGTTTGACTGGGAACGCTCGCGTTAAACGATATTCAATTGGCGTCCATCAAACGAGGAAAAGTCATTTAAACGAAAACAAAGAAAAAGTCCAGGAGGAAGAAGTTCTGGCAGACGAGTCGGAAAGTGTAAAATATCATTTCCTCTTTTTCGGCAAACAACGGTATCGAGCAGCCCATCAGGACTCGTCAGACGTCGGAGCAAACAGAAGGAACAAGGACGGCTACGACGACGAGACGAAAGAGGATGGTACGTCTTTGCGCGCAAAATGTCCGAGCGAGCGGAGCATCGGGAAGTGTTTGCTGCGAGAACGAAAGAAATTAATTTGAGCCGCGCTCGCGTTTGCCGAGTAATTTTACGCGAAGAAAAGAAAAGCAGAAAGAAACGGTCTCAACGAGAGCTTCTGGTTCGCCCTCCTCGAAAGCCATTTCGCGTTTAAACTTTTGCAGTGGCGCTCTCGCCGGTGTAAGGAGCAGCGCTGTTCCAAGCGAAATTCCGTTGGTACATTAGTTCCATAACCAGCGCCAATCGGAATTCGATATCGCACTGCTGTCTCGTGGAGAGCCGACGGCCATTGCCGCGAATGCAACGTCGACCACCGACACACGAAGCGTCCGACACCTCATCAGTCCTTCAATTTCCTGGCTGGCTGGCCTAACTCACTTTACCAGCCCCGTCAGAGGCTATCGAGCTGCAGCGCTCTTTACGTGTCTAGCTCTCTCGCTTCCACTCTTTTTTTTATTTATTTATTTTTTTCTACCTCGCTCGCTTGCAACGATGCACTGCTAAGCGACGCTTAGCGAGCGAGAGCTTGCAGCGTCGTTGTTTACTCGGCTACGTGAATGGCATGAGCGAGCGAAAATCGACTGGCGCGACTCTGCTCTCTCTCGGAAAATTAGGAGTGTGCATGTTTTTTTAAACGAGCCTGCCTGCTGCCACTGAGAAGCCTAGACTGTTTGTTGTTTGCCTTCGGCCGAATATATCGACCGTGCCGAGTTGTTTCGCCTTCGATGAGATTTCTTTCCTCGCAGCTCGAGTTTGCCGATGTAGATTGGGCGATTACTCGGGAAGGCGGAACGGTTTCGCAATATTTGCACGAATGAGAGATCAATCGGCTCGTCGAGCTATGCCTAATCGAAAAGTAATCGCGATATTCGCTCAAGGCCGAACGTTCGGAGCGAGCAAGTCTGTGTTTCGTTGCGGAGAAACAAAAAATTGGCGCTTTGCGCTCGAACGTATTTTCACTTATTATGCCTTCACCGTTGTACCCGTTTTGGCGAGACCACCTGTGCGATGGGACAACCGAACGTCGAACGATTCCGCGCGTCACTTTGCTTTGCCGCTGAAAGCTATGCCAATTTTCAATTGGCCAAACGCGCGCGTATATTCCGCGAAATCGTGGAGCGACTCTCTTGTCGGCCCTATTTCCATCGCGAGCAGCAACGCAGCCGCGAAACTAATGCACGAGCTCGTGAAACACCCAGTAAATCTGCCAGTGGTAGCAGGCCAGAACTTTTAAAACCCATAGCGTAAATACATCGTCTGCCCATATCCAAAAATATCCCCTACTACGCGCTCGTTCGTAAGTGGCCCGTTCAATGCGAGAGGCCGTGGCCAATGGAAGGCTAATTCCGTCGGCGTCTGGCCGGAAAATTACCAACTCACTCTCTCTCTTTCTCTCTCTCTCTCTCTCTCTCTCTCTTCTCTCACTTTTCCATTTGTCACTCTCGTGTGTAATTTCCTCGCGGGCCGTGAGAGGGAGATTTCGAATTATTAAGCGTTCGAGGAAATTAATTCGGCGCGTGTGTTTCTACCTAATCGTCGCGCGCGAGGAGGAGCCGAAAACCCGATTGATTAACGCCCCGCTCGCGTTTCATTTGCAAGGCGAGCTTTTAATCAAATCAGGCGCGATCGGCATTTCGTTATCGAGCGCGTGCCCGTGCAACGGGATTGTTTGGCTTATTCGGCGCCCTTCCCTCTCCTCGCCCTATCGTCTCGCTGCTGATCATTCCCGCGCGCTGGCCTCGCTCGTGCTTTTTTCCATCGGTCAGTCCCATCCGCGCGTTTCGTTTGTTTTCGTTGTTTTTCTTTCCCCGCCCTCTTTCTCTTTGTTATTTTGCGCGCGAGACGCGATCAGCCGATTGTTTGCCGGACGATATCCTGCCGAACGCGAAATCGTCGGCACGGCGAAAACCGAGCGAGCGAGGGGGCGAAGGGAGCGCCTTCGCAAAAGTCAAACACCGAGACGAGCCACCGCCAGCGAGCAAACGGCTGCCGATGACAAACAAGCTCTCGCGAACTTGGATTAGCCGGCAGACGGGCTTTTTCCGGCGGGGAGGGGGCAGCGCGTTCGCCGATATTCGATGCGTGCGCGCCGAGTTAATTAACGCAGCCGCGTACGGTCTCTCGTGATTTTGGCAGTCCATACCCGAGGAATGTTCATCGGGAGAGAGTACGGGCGCGCGTCGCTCGGCTTGCAGGATCGACGTGGCGCGAGCATAACGAGCTCGCGGTATCGAGTGGCGTGCACCGGCGACGTTTCTTTTTGCGCGCGCGCCCGTCTGCGCGAAACAAACGGGCGGTCGCTCGAGCGATCGATACGGCGCAGCGCGCCGCGCCAGCCGCGGGTATCTCGAGCGAACAACCTGCTGGCGCGATCCGATGCTGATTAAAGCATCCGCTCGGTCGCGGCCGACGAACGGGGGACGTAGGCGCATTGTCTCGCGACCTCGCTTCCCGCGGGCTCTCGCAAGTAGTACGAGCGGCTTTTCGATCGGACGAGCGGGACGCCTAGTCTCTCTCTCTCTCTCTCTTTTGTTCTTTCGCGCGGTATAACGAAGCATTCCGTTTGGCCGAAGGCTGCGACGCGACGAGCGCCGTCATTTTTCCGATGCCACATTCAACGAGAAAATCGCTCGGCGCGCGGCTTTTGTTCGCGACGGCGAGCAGCCGAGGATGCGCCTCCCCGCCCATCCGTCAGCTTGCTCGACATCGGTCGCGCTGCGCCCGTGCATCGGCAAAAATCTCGCTTTACCCACCCCGGGAATCCCGCTTGCGCTTGCTCGTTCGTTGCCTACTCGAAAAAGTCTGCATCTGAAAATACCCGGTCTCTTTCTCTGTCTCTCTCTTAGCACACCCGCGGCGGCACATCATATCCCAAGATATACACTGCAAACACTCTCCCCGTAAGAAAAAGGAGAAAAAAACGCGAAACCAAACAGCCGTTCTCTCTGTTTCTCTCTCTTGAGAGTAGCGCGTGTATATTTCGGTACGCGTCTGCGCAGACTCTGCTGGGAGCGAGTGTCGAGCGAGCGAGCGCAAGCCCGGTCGCTGCTCGGTATAGGCCAGTGGCCCGTGAGCAGCCGCGACAGACGGTAACGCGAACGGCGCGCCGCGGACTCTTCGCGGCTTCTCGCGTCTATTTGTTTTTCTTTCGCATCGCGCGCGCTTCGACTGCTTCTCTTTCCTTTTTTTTTTCCTCTTCGCTTCCGATTGTCGCTGGATACTTTCGATTCCAGTGGTAAATACGGCCCTGAGTTTTTTTATTACCGCGAAGTGCTTATCATTGTATTCTTGCGCTTTCAACGGAAGGGGAGACTCTTAGTGTGTTGTGAGCGATTGTGAAACCGAAGCGTCCACAGTCTCCCGTGTAACGGGAGGACAAAAGCTGTGAAAAATTGAGCCCGAGCCGGTTATTCCAAACGTCGCGCTGCGTAAAGCAATTATAATTCAAATTGAATAGGTCCCCGCCGACAAAGTTTCGTCGTCTCTCTCCGGCGGTGTTCGCGCGGCTGCGGCCGTCGCCGTCACTGCTGCTGCTGCTGCTGCTGCTACGCTGTAGTCGAGTAATTCCACAACGAGATTATGCTTTTATGAGCACTAAAACGATCCGCTCTCGCGTAGCGTGCACTTCGCCCGCCAACTATTATTAATAAAACGCGAAGCGAAGACTTGTCCTATCGATCCGCGAGCCTCTCTCCGCCGTCGTCTCTTGTCCAATTAAGCTTGTGTTTTCGCAGGGCGCGAGTGTGTTTTACCTCTGAGGGGAAAAACAAGGAAGGTACGACCGCGAAGTGGTCTGTGCGAAGGAGACCGAGCGAGAATCTGTTTGCCTTTCGTTTCGGTGGAAATGCAAGGGAGGAGTCTCCTCGCGTTCGGGCGTCGAGCAAGCGAAATGTTTGGAAATCGGGATGGCGGTTCGCGGAGGTCGCCGACCTCTTCGCGGCGCCGAGCGCGAGTCGGAGAATCGCCGGAGCCACGGCAGAGCGTCGCCTACGCGCGAGAGGCTCGCTCGCGAATCGTGGCGCGAGTAGCGCGAGCGGATTTCGGTCAGCCGCGTGCGCGAATGCCGCTCCTCCGCGTGAAGATCCGCGCAAAACCAAATTTCGCCGAATAATTTTCCAATCCAGTGCCGGGGACGAGGGGAGACGGGAGGCATCGAGGCACTCGATTGGGCCGCGCCGCACAGCCTGTTGAACAAAAACGCGCCGCGCGTCGGAAATTATTTCGCGCTCGGGCCAGTTTCTCCGCTTTTCAGCTTCGACGGGCGATGCCGAATTATTAATTATCCGCCTAGCTCGCCTTGTCGATAATCCCCCGGGGCACGCTGCTCTCGTCGCGGCAAGAGCGCAAGAGGGCCAAACGCAGTCGCTTCGCGCGCTCGCGGCGTCCGATGGACTCGAAAATCGTTCAGCGGATGAATTTCATAATCGCACGCGCGGCTGAGAAGAGCAAAAAGTCGACGAAATTAGCGAGAAAGCGTCGCGCGGTGCCCGTGTCGCTTGTAAACTGTTTGATGCTGTGCGCGTAAAAGAGAAATAGCGAAGCGGCCCGTGTCGCGAAAATATTGCTAAACTCGTTTGATACTCAGCTTCAATTTTATCGGGGTTTGAATTCCCAAACGCTACACGACGGCAAAGTCCGCGAAAGTAATTTGGAAACACTTTGAGCGCACTTGAAACGCTTTTCGGAGATTACAAGCGCGCGCGTCTTAAAATTTAACGAGCTCAAAACGCTGCGATTCAAACGAGGCGCTTGTTTGGGAAACGCGCGCGCGTTCACGGCCAAGTTTTAATGATTTTCCTTTGTCAACCGAATTCCCTAACTTTCTCTTTTTTCCTTTCGACATGCGCCTGACATTCCATTGAAATTACTCGCGCCGAAGAAATTCATCGAACGCGCATAATCGAAATTCCAATCCTTGTCGCAACCATAAACAGCTCAAGCTGCCGTTGCAGTGAAGTTAGCATCGAGCACAGCGAGAAAAACTCGTACATTGCGGACTTGGCTAGACTCAGCACGGTTGCATAATCTGTCGAAGGTCGTACGCGAAAACATCGTCTCACCGCAGTCTTCAAATAGTGAAAAGAAACAAGGGCAATACAAGCAATCATAAAGGCACGATTTACGACTGTTGGTCGAGCGACTCGACGGCTAGCAACAAAAAGAAAAAAAAGAATAGGAGACGGAGGGTAATTAAATAACTCGGGACGACGTATATATAGCGGCGAACATTTGCATTTGAACGCGCGGGCAAGAAGTTCATCTGGATTTACGAGGCGCACGGCTGATGCACTTTCTCTCTCTCTCTCTCTCTCTTCCTCTCTCTTCCTTACCAAAGAGAGTCTTTGTTCTCGCTAGACTGTGCTCTAAGAAGGTGTGAGCAACTCGCGATTGAGCTTTTATAGTCTAACTTTTCTTTTCTCTTTTTTTCTAACTGAAGACCTGCCCTTCCCCCGCCTTTTACTGGTGGAATTAATCAAGTTTCGGTTGTAACTAACTTTTGAAAACCGACTTCTCTCTCTCTCTCTCTCTCTCTCTCTCTCTCTCTTTCTCTCTCTCTCCTTTTTATTTCATAATTGAAAGTGCCACACTGCGAGAGAAGAATGTTAACTGTAACTTTCCAGAGAGTACATAAACCACTTTTGCACCGCGGAAACTTAATTGAAACGTCAGTTATATTTTCTTCCACACAAACGCGCTTATTTTTGCGAAACGTCGAATCCCTTGCCGAGCTCTTGTTTTATTTACTTATTTTTTTTTGAATTAACATTCTCGCGCATGTTTCTTCAACGCCGAACAATTAAACAGCGCTGTTCGAGCACAAACGGGCGTATAAACGCGCTCGCGCGAGTCCGTAGACGGAGAGCACCGCGAGTCAATTTTTTTTTTTTTTTTTTCGCTATTGCTCGCGCGCTCGAAGAAAGGGAAAACGGGGTTGGGTTGGATTGTCGCGAGCCGATGACGAAAAGCGAACGAAAGGCGAGGCGAATTCACACCGCAGGAGATCCGCGTGTCATTTGTTGAGCCAGAGCGACCGAAGCGTCGAGCACGCCGTTCGTCCTCGGCCCCCGATGAAAAACCGTCCGTCGGCGTTGATAACTCGTCGACGGCGTCGCGCTCGCGTGGCCTTTACTCGACGAGAAGCCCGCTCCGCGTAGGGACATTCGTTGGAAACGGGGCGTTCGGTTATTTCATCCTGTGATTTAGCTCGCGTGCGTCCGTTTGCGAGACAGTTCGTCATTACGCCCGCGTCGATCGGCCGTGGCATTTTTACCGTCGGCACACGGGAAGCGCCACGGTGAGCAAAGCGAAACTGCAGTCGAAAATTCTTTCGCAACAGATGGAATCCATTCGGGAATCCCTCCCGCCTAAAAAGGAAATCGCGACTCGTCGATCATTTGCAACTCGCGCGCGACTTCGTCGTCGCGTGGGCTTTAGCTTTATTCTATTATTTTTTTATTTTTTTACTTTTGCCCCCCGAGAAACGAGCGTCTCGGCGTAAAAATACCCCGCGCTCGAAATAGTCGCGCTGCATCCTTGTTTTCTTTACTTTAGGCACGCCCGGAGCGAGAGAAGCTTTCTCGTATCAATTAACGTTGCTCTGTACCGCTGGTGCGCCTTTGATGTCATGTGCCCGAAATCGCGGAAGGAGGAGGGAGGGTGCAGACGATTCCGACGAGTTTCGGGCCTGTTTAGTTATAGGCAAACGAGCTACCGTGTAATTGTGGCTTTTTGCCTTAATTGATAGCGGAGACGTGTCTGCTCCGTCGCAAAGCGAAGGGGAACAATTGGGAAGCGCGAAGGAGTTGAGTTTTTTTGCCTTGCCAAAAGGGACGAGTTAACTGATTTTTGTCGTTCTGACAAGGCGATTCAGATTCGAATTTTCGAACCATTTTTTACATCCCCGTCGTGCACGTTATCGTTCATTCTCTAACTAATCTCGTTTCGGATGTCGTTCGCTCCAACGGCAATAACCAGTCGCAAGCTGTCTCTTTGTTGCTCGCACGCACCGCTCGAAGATTTGGCCACTCTGATAGATCGAAAGAGAGAGAGAGAGAGCCTCGCCGAAACATCATCGAAGCCGCTCGTTTGGTCGTGAAATTCGACTTAGGTCGCGTTGAGAACGTACATTAGGTCTCATGGGAATTCGGTCGAGAGTCGGAGGTCACTGGCAGCGATGCGTCATAGCCGCACGGCGACGCGAAAGAACGCAGCGGCTCACGTGACCCGCGCGCGTAACCGTCGCGACGCGAACGGAGGCAGGCTGATCTATAACCGTCGACGATCACTTTTGCAAATGAAGGCGGGACGGGCGATAATGCTCGCGGCGGCATAGCGATGCATCGATTAGGGCATCGCGTGACGCCGCGCCGTTTGCGCGCGCGCGCCTCGGCCGCCGAGCTTTCCAGTCTCCCTCCTTCCTCGGCCCGCGCGGCGTATCTTTCATTTTAGCCTGCGCCCGTATAAATTGTCGCGGGTCGCCTGAGCCGCGGCACTTCGTCTCGTCGCGGACTCGGCTTCCGCGTAGCGTTCGCTGTTCCCCTTCCGGAAAAGCGCAGGATTTTCAGTGTGGGCACGCTGCTCGCAGATGGGGCGACGCGGTTGCGCGGCAGCCGGCGACTGATCGGCCGATAGTCGACGGCCGAGCGTCGAGTCGCGAGGAGCGCGGTTGGAGTGCGGAGAGGAAGGGAGCCTCCTTGCTTTTGTTGACACTCGTGTGCCGTCGTTGATCCTCGTTACAAGCGAGGACGACCAAAGACCTGACAAATGGTGCAGCCCGTCACCACCGAGAACAACAACTTCGCCTTGGATATGGAGTCCCTCGAAGAGATGCTTCGCAAGGTAACGAACGCATGCTTCGTCAAATGGCCTGTCTCCCTTGTTCGCGTTCTTCGACTGACTCATTCATCACGCGCGGACCTGGGTTCTCCTCCGTTCTTTTTCGCGAATGATGCGGGTCTGTGACTGTCCGCGTTTGCGAACACCGACCGATCGATCGATCATTTAACGTTGTAGTAAGCAAAAAGCGAGATTCCGAACGTCGACGAGAGCACCGAGTGATAACAAATTTTCCGCAAGCACCCTCGCGGATTGGCATTCGTACGGTTGAACGGTTGAAACATTTTGCGCACTGTGCTTGATAAAAGGTGGCTGAAAACTGTCCGTTTCTCTGGTGCTCGGAGTGGAGTGGCCGAGTCAGCCGCACTTAAACCGCCGCGCGAAAAGTTCATTCGCAAATCGGCTTGCATGCGAAAAGAGGGAAGAGACGGGTGGCTCGTCGATTCGTATTTCACATCGCGACAGCTCTGACGCGCGCGCCACCGGCGTCATCGTTCGTCGACGTGTAGTCTGAATGGACCACTTAGCGTTGGCGCACACGTATATGCGGAGGCTTAGGTAAACCGGGAGATGCGGCGCGCGGATTGTTTTTCATGTAGCGCGCGGCTAAGGGGACGACAAGGCATACCCACTCGTTTTTGCCTTTCTCGGTTTCCTGGGGTAGCTTTTGCCATACTTCCTTTTATCTTTGCGTCTGTTTTCACGGTGCTTTCTTGTTTTTCAGTTTTGTTTTCGAATGAATGTACGCGTATATGTCTCTCGTAAATTAAACGAATAATAGCAACTAGCGTTTATACGTTGACTGGTTTTTGTAGAGTTGTCGTTCTGCGTAAGCTCAAATCTTTCCTGGACTTTCGCTATTGACATTTAATCGTATGATTTTCTTACAGCATGATCCATTCAATGCATTTATAATAAATTTATTACGAAACTCTAATCGTAAAAAGTCTACAAGTATTCAAGCTATTCAAAGTATACACTGCAAAATGTTGAATACGCAAGTCTTTGAGATTCCTTTTTTTTCTCTACGAAGTCGTTGACCCTTCAAAGCTCACAGCTTGAAGGGGATGTCAGACAGAACTTGCAAGTTCACGCCCTGCATTTTCATGCGGCCTCTCCGGTACAAATCTTTTTCATGTTTACTTACCACGTTGGACAGGCGCTGCTTCAATTTTTTGCCAGCAAATTTCTTTTTCGTGGATTCGCTTGATTTTAATTGACGATTTCGAATTGAAGATAATAGAAACGTTGAAATAAGCTACAGATAAAAATAGCTCGAAAGTAAGATTTTTGTTAATTTATTCGTTTATTCGAGCAGATTCGCGCCTGGAATTATTAACTCTGGCATTTCGGTTGCGAGCGGAATCGTTGAAAAGTAAGTTAATAGTATCAAGAGCAAGCACCTCTCGACGTACAAGAGCCGAGTATCCAGCGCTGTTTGAGCGATCTTCAATAGAGAGACGTCTGCGAGAAAGCGCACACAAAGCCACCGTTGGCCGCGCAGCGCCGGCAGTTCATTAAACCCAGTGCAATCCCATATTTTCCCGAGCCGGCGTACGGAAGCCTTCGCGGCGAATATAATTTTTGTATGTTTACGAACACAGGGCCGAGCAAACGCAATAAAAAGCCGAGGCGCCAAAAGTTTATCGGGAGAGCGAACGGCTGCCGACGCGTGTACGCCGAAGCCGCACTCGAAGCGTTTTATTAGCTCCTAAAGCTGCGCTCCGAACGACCTTTTTCCAGCGCGACGCCCCTTGGCGGAAAATGAACGCTTTATTGTTCGATTACGACGTAGTCCCTCGCCAGAGAGAGAGAGAGAGAAAGAGAGAGAGAGAACAAATTTTATTTTTTCCCAGGGATTATTGTCGCTCGATCTAATTAAACGCTCCGCGCTAATAAAGCACCGCGCGATTACATTTATGCGCCGACGTGTGGCGTATCCGAGTCGGCGGTGGCGGCGGCTCGCGAGCTCGCCAAATGTAAATTTAATGAGCGCTGCCGGGCAAAATGAATTGTACCGGGCCAACTTTTGACGTCGCGCTGTCTGATAAATTATTCGAGTCGGTGGCCGCGCTGCGAGCGAATCAAAAAGCGAGGCAAAGAGTCGACGCGACGGGGCATAAATGAAAAACAATAAATTTGTACGAGTCCGACTCTCCGCGGGGCTAAATTGACCTATTAATTCTTCGCGGATAAACCGGCGGGGGATGCGCGCTCGCTGCAGTTATAAATTTCGGGCGATTAAGCGAAACGCGAATAAAGTTTTCGCGTCGCGAGCCGCGCTGCACTCCTCGCGTACTGTCGCGCGCGCGGCCCAGCGCAGTTCCACTCCTGATATAAGGTCGATATGCACACTGAAACGTCGCGAATCGCTGCTTACCAAAGAACAATTGGCTCGATCGTCGCTCCCGAAGTCACTGAAACTCAGTGATCCGTCTGACCGTCTGCGCATTCAAATCACACGCTCGGTTTCATTGTCGCGATAACTGCCTCGGCAAATCCTTGCGCGAAACTCGCTAAGAGAACAGAATAAAACAAACGAAGAAAAGAAATAGTGGGCGCTCCCCGGATACCGTCACATAATAAGAGCCGGGGAAAAGAGAAGAAGAATTTCTATCTCGCGAGGACGCACGTCCGCAATCAGCGCGCGGCGAGTCTCCGATATAATTTCGACTAATGGAAAGCAGCTCGTCCTCCCCCTCCCAGCTTCGTTCTCAAAGAGATCTCGACAAAAAAAATAAGGGTCGAGGGCGAAACGCAATGTCGGAGTGATACGACTTTAATGCGTTCGCCCGTTCCTTTGACGATTTTCGCGCGGGCGTTTTTCACTTCCCTCTCCGTTTCCGCGCTTTCCGATCCGCGGCGAGCACGGCGCATTATTACGTTATTACGTCGGAGTCGGCGAGAGCGCGTGCCGAGTGTTTTGTCGTCGCGAGAAGAATTAAGGCCGTCCTCCGAGAGTACAGGCAGAACGGTCCCTCCGCGCAGTCTAATTGCGAGCCGCTCCCCTTGTCGCCGTCGCGTTTTTCCCGCGCAGCTCTGGTCGCTCATTAGCGGCTCTTTCGGCCGGACCGTCGAAGGGGATACGTAACGACGGACGGCGCGTCCATCGTGGATCTTTCCGCGCGAAGCGTCATTTTATCAGGCGCTTGTCGCTCGCGATTGAAATTCAATCGCGCTTCACCCTCGGCACTTTCGCAGCCTCCCCGCCTCTCTCCGTCGCCGCTCGTCCGCAACAATCGACGACGTCGATGGCTTTCACGCCCGGCCGTGCACTCCTGCGAAGCTCGCAGCGCGAACAAATGCACTTTGCGATCGCTCGCCCGCGTCAATTAAAATTCAGCGTCGGCAACTTTCGCGCGATGTCCGGGAGCCCGCGTTGGAAGTTTCTCACGGCAGCAGCTGCCGCGACGACAGCGGCGGCGGGGACGCGGCCGTACATCGTCGCCGTCGTCGATCGATTGTCGGCGCGCTCCTCTCGAGGATTTCGGGCTGTTTTATTTAGCCGCGAGAGCTCCCTTTTGATGTGCCATTGCTCACTTTAATTACCGGCTCTCTCTCTCTCTCTTTCGCTCTTTTCTTCATTGCTTTTCGCGTGCGCCTTTGCCTCTTGATTTTTATGTATGTACCGACCTCTCTGACATTGCGACAAGACTGCGTATGGATATTACCGGTCGACGGTTGAAATTAAAATTCGAAATTGCGTTGGCCAAGAAGGCACTTTGATGTTTCCAAATCGAAACAAGCGAGTGATATGATTGCTTTTACTGCTTTTTATTTCACATCGGACAAAGTAATATGACGTTTGATTGGAGTGGTACGAATCGCAATAACCGTTCGATATTTATTATTTCATCGGTGAGTTTTACGTATTTATCTAAATGAAAAAAAAATCAATTGGCGTTATTGAGTCTAATAAAATGTCTTGCACGGTTTCTTTTTCGCTCAACCGTTGATAGCACGATTAATTCTGAAATACCAATTATGTATTGGTTGACTTGTCGGACGATAGTTGGTATGAATACTCTTACACTTCGTTTATGCACGTTCAAGACTCGCCGACCGATCGGTAATAATGTTTCGTCTGTAAATTCTATACGGATGTAATTTGATTTTGTAAAATTAGCCTTCCGCTGGCATTTGATAAATGACCTCGAGTGGCATGCTTCGTAAACAGTATCGATAGCCACACAAAAACGGCAAATACTCTTAATTTTATGATGAATTTATTGTGATATGCCGCGTTTCTTTGAATTTGAGCGATGGTGTGTAGTCCGTACGCACAGTTTTGTAAACGACAAGCACTTTTATATTTATCCGTATATCTCACCCATACTTTCCAGGCACCAGCATCTACCCTAGAAATACATCTCAATTTCTTGATACCGTCAAAAAGTCAGCGTAAAAGAATTCTCGGATCCGTCAAGTGTGATCTTCCGGTAAAACACATCGTACATAAATCCTGTTGCCTCTGCCGTCAGAAAAAGCGATTCCCAGCAGACCCTGTACGCACCCAAAAAGAAGCACACGCGCGCGCCCAGATCGTTTCCGTAAGGGGAGTAGCAAAAAAAAATTAAAGCAATCATCTCGGAAATACTTCTGGTGGCTTAGGCTCAACGTTTCCGTTTTTTTTTTTCGGGACGAAGAGAAAGTGGCAAGTGTCGCGCAGATCGGAGCCAGTTAAAAATGAGATCATTCTCACGCACAGCCTCGCGCGTTTTGTCGGTGAATCGCGCGAATATTTCACCCCCTGTCCGCTCTCACGCGCGCGCGAGCGCGAGAGAGAGAGAGAGAGCAAGAGAGAGTCGAAAATGGAAATAAATAGCGCGAGAAGCCTTTCGCGGTTAATAATGCAAGGCTCTGGAAAATTGATGATCCGTGAGCTTTGATTTATGGATTGTCTCGATGTATTTTTTCATCCCCTCCTCTCTCTCTCTCTGTCTGATTGTTGAGAACGATCTCCCTGCGATATTGAAAAATGATGCTTTTCGCTACTTGCAATT